AAGTTCAGAAAAAAACACAATCCCCGATCATAGTATCAATTATTTCGCGTACGGAATACCTACGTTATACTGTCATCGCCGCGTACGGCGTACCGCACCTCGGCGTACGGAATACTCTCTAAATAGACCGGAATCTGGCGTACGAAAAGGGCTTTGACCCCCTCATATATATGTGAAGTAGTATGACTGTAGCAGTAGTAGATGTCTAGATGTAGTATAAGCAGTAGTAGATTAAGCAGTAGATGAAGTAGTAGTAGTAGCCTCAAGGTCGCTCCGGGCTGTACGAAGGTTAACGCGCGCGTCACCCGCCTCTTGTTTCAGCTTGTCTAGCATGCCGTACATTCCGCTACAGCGCATCGTACAGTCGGTGAAGAACACCAAGCGAAGAGGATCGGCCGGACTGAAGGACGGCTGGATGGTGCACTTCACGAACAAAGATAGCATTGTACGCGACACCGTGCGCGAAGTAGGACAGAAAACTTGGAACGAAAACGAATGTCGGGAAAATTTACGCTACAGTTCGCGTCGGGGTTCATCTATAGTTCAGTGCTTCTCGTACTGGTGAATGAAATTATTATAGGGTGAATAAAACTTACCAGAAACATAATAAGGAAATTTTGTTGCATGTGAATGAAATTTTTGTGATAAAGACTTGATGGTGAATGACACTGAAATAATTTAAGAAGCACTGATCTAGTGAACTGGTTGTACGGTTTTTAACAATAGGACCCACAGCATTTATAACCTGGTATGTTAATCCGAGTGGAATGCATGCATACACGTTTTACTAGTAAATCTACGGTTGGTCGATATTGAGAAGATGTTCCTCGTCGTAATAAACTGTTTAATTTCTATACAGAGGCGCCTGCATTACTGGCGGTTGGATTCCAAGTCTATTACGTTATATCAGAAGGAAAACACACCGAAATTCTACAAGGTACTCGTACGGTTCTAATACTTTTAGTTAACTTTAGTAGTTTAGTTGTTATTTTTAAATTAGTTGTATTCTTATTTATACCATTATAATTTATGCTAGAAACTTGTTTCTAATGTCCGTGTGTTCTCCACATCTTTAGCTGACTATCCGTGCTTCCCAAATCACAACTATATACCGGCGAGTGAATATAATACGATTGGATTTCCTGTAACGGGTAAACGCGAGCCAAACACGCCACGCTCGCTGTCGCCACTGTGGCTGTACTGTGGCTGTACTGCCACAGTACTGTGGCTGTGTCGCCACTGTGGCTGTACTGTCGCATGTAACATCTGCTGGCTGCATGGCGTTCGACGAAAGCGGGATTCTTGTTAAAACGATTTTTTCTCAAATAAATCGAAAAATAAATAAATTTAGACGAATTTAGACTCGCCCATCAGCGTACGAGTTATGGCACTCGCTTGTTAAAACAATAATTTCTCAGATAAATTAAAAAAAGAATAAATTTAGACATATTTATACTCACCCTTCAGCGTACATATTATGGGACTCTCTCGTTAAATCGATCGTTTCCCTAATAAATCGAAAAATGAATAAATTTAGACTCATCTGTCTTCAGAAATATTATGCGTCTGTTCTCCCAGGCAGGAGATCAGACCTCTTTCGCCTTCCAAACGCTTCCAGAAATATTATGCGTCTGTTCTCCCAGGCAGGAGATCAGACCTCTTTCGCCTTCCAAACGCTTCCAGAAAACAAGTGCACGTAGTTACGTCCTGCTGTCATTACGATCCCTATATATATACCTATCCCATATCATTCGTTTACGAAAAATTTAGACGAATTTAGATTCACCCGCCGCATACATATTATGGAACGTTATAAATATTCATAGAATATTATAGCTACCTGTTTACGCTCCTACAAAACAAGTGCACGTAGTTACATCCTGCTATCATTACGATCCCTATACCTATCCCATATCATTCGTTTACGAACAATTTAGATTCACCCGTCCGCATACATATTATGGAACGTTATAAATATTCATAGAATATTATAGCTGCCTGTCTACGCTTCCAGAAAACAAGTGCACGTGGTTATGTCCTGCTATCATTTCGATCCCTATTCCTATCCCATATCATTCGTTTACGAAAAATTTAGACGAATTTAGATTCACCCGCGTCCACATGCATACATATTATGGAACGTTATAAATATTCATAGAATATTATAGCTACCTGTCTACGCTCCTACAAAACAAGTGCACGTAGTTACGCGACGAAAATCTCTATATCGTCGGCTCTCTCTCTCCCCGACAGGAGATCGCTCTTGCCGACATCGTCACGGTGGAGCGGGCGCGCGACCCGGTCTCGACGGACGCCACGCGCAACCCGCACTGCTTCGAGATCAGCATGAACATGGGCGTCATCTTCTACGTCGGCGAGGACCGGCTAGATAAGGATGTGGTAGCGCCGGCGGAGACGGGCAGCGGCGCGCACGCAGCCAAGACGTGGGAGCACGCGATACGGCAGGCGCTGATGCCCGTCACTCCACAGTCGAGCAACGCCAGTACCGGCAGTGAGTAACGTTGGCGGCGACGCGCGAAATGTTGAGAGAATTCGCTCGATCGAAACGATGTCGAAAAAATTCACTCGATTGGAAACCAACGTTACAAAAATTTGCTCAATTGAAATAATGACCAAAAAATGTCGGCGATCAAAATGATGTCAGCGGCGCGCACGCAGCCAAAACGTGGGAGCATGCGATACGGCAGGCGCTGATGCCATTCACCAGTGGCGTAGTTAGGGGGGGGGCAAAGGGGGCCATGGCCCCCCTGTTGACCCGAAAGTTAAAAAAAATGTATAAAAAAACGATTGTTTAACTAAAAAGAGAATTGTCGAAAGAAAGGTCAGAGAAAAGTCAGAATGAAGGCTGTACATGTACTTAAAGGTGCCTCAAATATCATATCCTGCGATCTACATTTTCAAAATGTTCTGGGGGAGGACCCCCATACCCCCCACCTGTGTTTCACCCCCCTCCTCGTAATCCTGGATCCGCCACTGGACAATTACATATCTAGGGAGCAGAGAACAATGAACACAAACGTCGCCTTTTTTCATGGCGCCCAAAACAAAGATTGCAGAGCTGAGAGGCGGGGGAGCATATGGTGTGGAGAGGGAAGTGTAGGAACCATTAAAATATTAAGTCATCCACTATTTTGTGCAGTTCGCTGTTTTTGGACTCCCCCCCCCTGTTAAAAAATCGTGGCTACGCCACTGGCAGTCACTCTGCAGTCGAACATCGCCAGTACAGGCAGTAAGTAGATGACGCGCCGAGCGAGCGCTCTCGATTGGCCGAGTGTAATCGAAATGATGCCGAGAAAGAAACGCTCCATTAAAACGATGTCGAGAATATTTAATTCGCTCGACTGAAACAATGTTCGAAAAATTCACCCGGCTGAAGCACTGTCGAGAAATTCCGCTCGATTGAATAACTGTCTGAAAGATTCGCTAGATTCAAACGACATCGAGACAATTCGCGCGCGTTATAAGGCTGTGCATGGTGCTGTCGGACGGTCATGTACGTCTAGGCGATGATGCGAGTCACTCTGCAGTTGAGCAACACCAGTACCAACAGTGAGTAAACCAAGCGGCGGCGCGAAATGATGTCGATAACGAAACGCTCGACTGAAACGTCGTTCGAAAAATTTTCTCGGTTGAAATGATGTCAAGAAAATTTGCTCGATTTTATTTTAAACAAATAATGTTAAAAAAATTCGCTTGACTGAAACGACGTCGAGAAAATTCGCTTGATTCAAACAATGACCAAAAAATACGGCTGGCGCTGATGCGAGTCACTCTGGAGTCGTGCAATGCCAGCACCGGCAGTGATCGAGCAGCCCAACCATAGACCGAATAATTCTGTCCCATATAACCTTTTTTATATTTTGGTGAGGGTTATTGGGGAATGTGTATTGGAGAATGGGGGCCAATTGGGGAATAGGGGCCAATAACCCTCACCAAAATATAAAAAAGGTTATATGGGACAGAATTATTCGGTCTAGCCCAACCGGTGGTGTGCCGGGCAAGCGCGCTCCGTCGAAACACTCGATTAAAACGTTGTTCGAGAAAATTCGCTTGCCTTAATCGTTGTTCAAGAAAATTCGCTTGGTTGAAATAATTTCCTAAAAATTCGCCGGACTGAAACAATGCTCAGTGGCTGAAACAGCACCGGCAGTGAGTAACGAGAGAGGCACACCGTCAAAACGCTCAATCGAAATGACGTCGAGAAAAAAACGCTCGATGGAAATGATGTTCGAAAAATTCGCTCGATTAAAACGATGTCCAAAAAATTCGCTCGGTTGAACAATGTTCGAAAAATTTGCGTGCCTGAAAAGATGTCAATAAAATTTGCTCGATTTAAACAAACTGTTAAAAAAATTGCTCGACTGCATGAAATGATGTCGCAAAAAGTCGCTTTAAAACGACGTCAAGAAAATACGCTCGATTGAAACGATTTCCAAAAAAACTCGCATGCATTATAACGCGGGGGCACTGTCGTACAGTCTAGTTTGGTTCGACTTCGAATTTCGGAAATTCGCGCGACGACAACAGCGCGACGAGATTGTGACTGCCTCGAAGGCGACGTCGAAAAAGAAACGCTTGACCAAAATGATGTTCGAAAAGTTTGCTAGGCTGAAATGATGTCAAGAAAATTGGCTCAATTTAAATAAGCACTGTTTTAAAAAAAAATTGCTGGACTGAAATGATGTCGAGAAAATTTGCTAGATTGAAACAATATTCGAGAAATTTCGCTCGATTGAAACGATGTCAAAAAAATTTGCTCGCGTGGAACGATTTCCAAAAAATTCTCCCTATTGAAACGACATCGATAAAACTCGCATGCGTTATAACGCTGTGGCGCTGTTGTAAGGGTTAGTTGGGTTCGACATCCACTGATCACTGATCATACAATTGGATCTTTGATGTTTCTGAAATCTGGGCGAGAACAACATCTAGTTTCGGTTCGACATTTCGGAAATTCACGAAAGAACAATGGCACGACGAGTCTGTGATCCCCCGACATGCGTTCATGTTTGCAGAGCCGTCGGACAAGGGGAAGCCATCGGTGAACGGTGAGAAGGAGGAGAACGTCGAGGACATCAGCGAGCTTTATCAGATCATAGCCGACGACGTCCTCGGCTCCGGCCAGTTCGGCATCGTTTACGGAGGTTTGTGCATGTCCGCTCGATCAATACTCAATCAATCATTTTTCTCTTCTCATTGATGTAGATATCACTTCTTATTGATGTATTCCTTCCTCTGCATTATTTTTTCTTCTTTTATCGAGGTAGATTCCCATCATTACTTATTTTTTTTTTTTTTTTTTTTTATTTTTTTTTTTATGCCCTTTCTTATCGATGTAGATTCCTTTCTTATTGATTATTTTCCTCTTCTCATTGATGTAGATTCCCCTCCTCTGATTATTTTCTTCTTCTTATCGATGTAGATTCCCATCATTGCTTATTTTCCCTTCTTATCGATGTAGATTCCCTTCTTATTGATTATTTTCCTCTTCTCATTGATGTAGATTTCCCTCCTCTGATTATTTTCTTCTTCTTATCGATGTAGATTCCCATCATTGCTTATTTTCCCTTCTTATCGATGTAGATTCCCTTCTTATTGATTATTTTCCTCTTCTCATTAATGTAGATTCCCCTTTCTCTGATTATTTTCTTCTTATCGATGTAGATTCCCATCATTGCTTATTTTCCCTTCTTATCGATGTAGATTCCCTTCTTATTGATTATTTTCCTCTTCTCATTGATGTAGATTCTCTTCCTCTGATTATTTTCTCTTCTTATCGATGTAGATTTCCCTCTGATTATTTTCTTCTTCTATCGATGTAGATTCCCATCATTGCTTATTTTCCCTTCTTATCGATGTAGATTCCTCTTCTCATTGATGTAGATTCCCCTCCTCTGATTATTTCTTCTTCTTTTCGATGTAGATTCCCATCATTGCTTATTTTCCCTTCTTATCGATGTAGATTCCCTTCTCATTGTTTTATTTTCCCCTTCTCATTGATATACAAGACATTCTTCTTAGACGCTGAAAGCAGCACGTATTAGGTTTTGAAGTCAGGGGGTCAAATGGCAAGTTGGATCTCTAATAGAACTTCTTATGTGGACTCATGTAACATTGTGCTTGCGAAACAAGAGACTGAGTTTAATCTAAGCAGATGCCTACAATGTAATGCGTGTCGGGTTGTGGTTTGTATTCATACAGAGATTTTGTGCAAGCTAAGAACCCTCTGTGATTTCTGTCTAGATATATCACCAGGGGTAAATAACCCCTGATATCACATGTCATTGTGTTGGTCCTATTACCATTGTGGCTGTATATAATATAATACACTGAAAACATACACTCATCACATATACTATTTCTTTCTCCTTGATCTATAGGCGTATACAGAAAGACAAACAGGGAGTTGCTATTAAGGTCATCGATAAACTTCGGTTTCCACGCCGACAGAGGCTCAGCTGAAGAACGAAGTTGCAATTCTCCAAGTATGCTCTCTTACCTTTCTAATCTAATCTAACAGGAAAAAAAGCCATATTTTTTAACTGTGCATTTTGCTCAAGTTTCTAGGCTGTGGCAAAACCGTTGTGTGTAATGTCACTATGGTACATATGGCATACACAAGAAATGGGTAGCACTGTTAGCAACGGTTACATATGTTACGCACCGCACGCCGACCACGCGGCATGGCCATACACACAGGCTGTAATATATGACAGATGTAGGACTATATATATGTAATAATAGAATAACATTAGTAAACATAATAACATAGTAACATAGTATAGCAGATGTAATATTAGCGTAACATAGTAACATATAGTAGCATAGTAATATAGCTAACAATAAGTAGCATAGTAAATATAGTAACATAGCTAGGCATAGTATATAGGTAACATATAACATATAGAGCATAGTAAATATAGTACATAGTAAGCATAGTAGCCATAGTAATATAGTAACATAGTAACATAATAACAATTAGTAATTAAATTAATTAAGCATAGTGATATTTGCGATTACTTGCTTCAAGTTAAGAATATATATTATGTAGCATATTACTTACGTGCCAAAAACACCCCTACGTAACATTAGTTAAGTAATTGCACAGTGCGCCAGTATTGTTGCCTAGTCATGTATACTTTGGTAACCTCATCTTTTGCCTTGCTCAATGATTGTCTAGGATCTTCAAATACGCCAGGAATCGTAAATCTGGTAGCGCATGTTTTCGAGACCGAAGGAGGAATCTTTGTTGTCATGCGCACGAAGCTTAGAAGCGGTGAGCATGCTTGAAATGATCCTGTCACACCACGCCGCTGGGACGCTTCGGAAGTGTCACCCAATTCTTAATCACTCAGGTCAATTAAGCCACGTGTCACAGCCGACGGGAGGCTGTCGGAAAGTGTCCCAACAATTCTTAATCACTTCAGGTAATAAGCCAGGGTGTCACAGGCCGCCGGGAGGTTGTCGGAACAGTGTCACGCAAATTCTTAATCCACTCAGGTTAATTAAGCAGGCGTGTCACAGCCGAGAACGTGGATTGTGTCGTCCGTGTTAATCTCGGAGGTGGAGGTTGACAGCCAGGAATATTAAACTCGTGGAAAAAACTGGAATGTTCTTGAATTAAGGACATGTTCTGTGTCTACATAGAAAACCGTGAAACCCTAGAAATCATAAGGAAAAAGACACAAAATATATGATGTTCATAACATGGTGACTTGTGCATCATCTGAAAATTGACATTTCCAGTGCTGGAATTCCACTCTCTCGTAAATGTTTTCCTTTTGGGCGTGTGGATCATGTATACCCTATGCACAAATAATTTAACACTTTACTTACGAACCCATGCATTATTTCTCGCAGATATTGGCTGCACTGAAGTACCTACACAAGTGCAACATCGTGCATTGTGACTTGAAGCCAGAAAATGTACTGCTTTCTTCCACTACATCTGAGTTCCCACAGGTAAGCAAAAAGATAGCGAAGCGGAAAGTGACAATGCGAGACTGAATGTAGTTATTTTTGTGTGAAATACACGATTGTAGCACTATTTTGAAATTGCAAGTGCAGTTCTATAATGCATAAAATTATGTTATGTAAAATGTTAGTTGTAACGCATAAAATTTTTTTATAATGACTATATTATTATTATGTTTCGGCAATTGTAGTTTTTACACACTGGACCTTTATCAATGCAAAGTATTTTTAAAGGTGACACTATAACAGCTTTCAGCATTATTTTCATTTAAATCGTCGTTAATTTACGCTACTTGCCAGTTATTATTGTCTAATTATAATGAGGAATGAATGGTAGAAATGATAATATGTTAATATACACATATTTGCATAGGCGTTTGCCATAACTACTTGTGCCAGCTACTCCATGCAATATCGCTTTAACATTCTTTGCGTGTTTCTGTCATAGATCAAACTGTGCGATTTTGGATTTGCACGCATCATTGGTGAGAAGTCGTTTCGCAGATCGGTTGTTGGCACTCCTGCCTATCTCGGTAAGCACAGCTCATAGGGTCTATGTCCCCCAGGGTACTGCCGGAACGTACCCTGGATACGGTCCGGTGTACCGGAACGTAGCCTGGTAACTATCTGATATAGTTAGGGTTAGGGTTAGGGAGTAGGCGTAGGCGACTCCCTAGACTCGTTAGTGGAGTAGGCGAGGTACGATCCGGCATATTAGATAGTACAAGGGTACCTTTGATATAACAAACCGTACCCAGGGTACCCTCCGATAGTACCCTGGGGGGACATAGCCCCTCTCAGCTCAATTATTATATGGTGGAATTCTAAAGGATGTTCAGAGGAACCTGTATGCAAAATCTCTAAATTTCGCTTTGCAGAGCGAACCAATCGTCGAAATGCAATTTTCCAGTGTTACTGACCGTTTCGTATTATTTCATTAATGTCACTCAAGTTAAATGCCCACGTTTACATATCACGTGTAAGCATGTCCCAAAAGTATGGTTCTCTATTCTCTACTTTCATCTCCTGTTCCCACTCTCTTCTCTCATTCTCTATTCTCTACTTTCATCTCTTATTCCCACTCTCTTCTCTCATGAATTCACTATATTCTCTACTTTCATCTCCTATTCCTATTTTCTGGCACGCAGCTCCGGAGGTTCTGAGGAACAAGGGCTACAACCGATCGTTGGACATGTGGTCGGTCGGCGTCGTCATGTACGTCAGCCTCAGCGGCACCTTCCCTTTCAACGAGGACGAGGACATCAACGACCAGATCCAGAACGCCGACTTCATGTACCCACCGAACCCCTGGAGACACATCTCACGCGACGGTACGCATTGTTCGTTTGGCATGTCGCCACTGAGCGGTATTTCGAAACGAATAGCGCCAATATAGTCGAAAGAACACTAGACTATATTGGCCACAGCACACTACACGTCAAGTTTATTACTCGATCCGACACGAAGGAGGAAGTGACAACATACTCGCACGCGCACGCGTAGTACACGTCAAGACCAAATACGGTATTGTCTATGCATGTAACTTCCTGTAGTGACTCCCTGGCGCCACTCTTCTTTTCAATTATAATTAAACCAACTCAAAAGAAACACACACGTCCGCTACAAGCCACCATCGTACAAATTATTAAGGTACATGTTTAAATCAAACATTGGAGGTGACAAATGACAAATCCACCAACCATACCGATGAACAACCTTGCAATTAAATGGTGATGTTCATGCAGGATACGCAATATACCGTAACTAATGTGCACACTCGGTCATACCAAAGTTACACTACGGTCACCCCATCAGAGAGCTCAACACCACCAGTCACACGCACAGCAATGTTTTTCGTGACATTTTTTTATTCAGTCTGTCGCCTGTGAGCACTATTTCGAAAGCGGTTTAACGAAACGATCAGTGCCGAGACAGCTTTCGAAAGCTGTCGGAGGCGCCGCTAATATTTCACGTGATTGACTCTGATTTCCACGAATTGCAGTGTAGTTTCCTACACTGGTTAGCGCCGTTAAAATTCCTTTTCGTATTTTTTATTTGTAAAAACGACCGGAACCCTTCTAGCCAGTAGGTGGCATATAGGTATAGCATGCTAGGTCATAAGTGTCAACAGTGGCGCCGCCTTCTGGACGATTTCCAATTTAGTCGTGCTCAAAAATAATATATGTAAAATAATAAAATATATAGCAAATGATGTGGAATTCATACATCGCATAAAAAGAGGAAATAATCAGAGGAGGAGAAATCTACATCTAATTGAGAAGAGGAATCTACACTCGATTAAGAAGTAAAAATAGCAATGATGGGAATCTACATCGATAGAAGAAGAAAATAATGCAGAGCCGGAAATCTACATCGATAACGAAGACCGAAAATAATCAGAAGGAAGAGGAATTTCTACATCAATGAGAGAGGAAAAGTAATCATAACGAAGGGAATCTCATCGATAAAAGGGAAAATAAGCAATGATGGGAATTTACATCGTACTAAGAACGAAAATAATCAGAGAGGGGAATCTACATTAATAGAGATAGAGGAAAATAATCAATAAGAAGGAAATCTAACATCGATAAGAAGGGAAATAAGCAATGATGGGAACTGTCATCGATAAGAAGAAGAAATAATCAGAGGAGCGCGAGATCCTACATCAGTCGAGAAGAGGAAATAATCAAATAAGAAGGGAATCTACATCGATAAGAAGGGAAAATAAGCGAATTGATGGCAATCTAATCGCGATAAGAAAGAAGAAAATAATCAGAGGAGGGGAATCTACATCAATGAAAAGAGAAAATAATCATAAGAAAGGAATCTACATCGATAAGAAGGGCAAAAAAATAAAAAAAAAAAAAATAAGTAATGATGCGGAAATCTACACTCGATAAAGTAAGAAATAAATAGAGAGAAGGAAATCTACAGTTCAAATGAAGGAGGAAAAATAATCAGAGAGGGGACTACATCGAAAAAATTGATGATTGAGTATTTGCGATCGACGGACATGCCACAAACCTCACGTAAACGATTGCCCGAACTGGCCGGAGCCGAGGACCGTCTCGGGCCTATGATCTGATAAAGCTCGCTTGATGTCCTCCGACGTTCTCCTCCATTCTCCACCGGCTCACGGCGATGGCTTCCCTGTCCGACGGCTTCTGCAAACCATGAACGCATTGTCGGGGCGATCACAGACTCGTCGTGGCCATTGTTCTTTCGTGAATTTCGAAATGTCGAACGGAACTAGATGTTGTTCTAGAACTTTCAGAAACATCAAAGACTCCAATTGTATGATCAGTGCATCAAGTAGTGATGTCGAACCGCAACTGCCTTACAACAGCGTCACAGCGTGTAAACGCATGGCCGAGTTTTATCGATGTCGTTTCAATAGGGAAGAATTTTGGGAAAGTGCGAGTTCACTGGCGAGCAAATTTGTTTGCACATCGTTTCGAATCGAGCGATAATTTCTCGAACATTGTTTCAATCTAGCAAATTTTTTTTTCTCTCGACATCATTTCAGTCCAGCAATTTTTTTTTTAAACAGTCTTGTTTAAATTGAGCCAATTTTCTTAGACATCAATTTCAGAGTACGGCAAGACTTTTCGAACATCATTTTGGTCAAGCGTTTCTTTTTGCGACGTCGCCTCGAGGCAGTCACAATCTCGTCGGCGCTGTGTCATCGCGCGAATTTCCGAATCGAAGTCGCACCAACTAGACTGTACGACAGTGCCCCGCGTTATAATGCCATGCGAGTTTTTTGGAAATCGTTTCAATCGAGCGTAATTTTCTTGACAGTCGTTTTAACAGCGACTTTATTGCGACATC